ATTGTTAACAAGTACAGAGTAATGAATACAAATGTCAAATTTCAAATTGGATTTAAATATTTGACTACAGTAACTCTGATTTTCTTCCTCTGCCAGAAAACCAGAAAATCTTCCTGGTCAAATTTTGAAGGACAGGAAAAAGAATGAGAACTGCCTTGACGATCTTGAGTCCTGCGACTTTGCAGTGCTTTTTCAGTAATTCATGTTGGTATTGCTTGCACATAAAAGAAATCACTGGATTAGTTATAAGTTATAAGCTTCATATTTTTTCTCTGACTAAAAAAACCCAGAACGACTACATTTTAATGGAAATTGTGTCAATCGGATGCGGAGGCTTTTAAATGATAAAAATGTAATTACTTGCATTAAGTTTGTGGGTCTTTTCTTTAATGTCTGATTTTAGTGTCTTGGTTTTAATATCTGCTCGTTAGGTAGGTATTCAGGTTTCAATTTGGGGATTTGGATTTTTTCCCTCTAACCTTTCCACTCGATATCCATAACGTTGACAACGTCATTTAAATTTCTCACTAAATGCAGCCATTTTTCATACCTCTTTCATACATAAAAAAAAGGCCTAGCAGAAAACGAATGGACGTTATGTTACTGCTTTGCATTAACCTCTTCCTAACCAGGGATAGTTTTGTACTCTCCAGCGAGGCTTCAACAGAGACACAGAGAAGTGGTGCAGAATTTGAGAAAAGCAAAAAAAGTTTTTGTTTTTTGTGCGTTCAAATCCCCCCACAGCCCCACAAATATGATTTTCAAAGGCCAAAAAATCACACACACGTCAAGAACCTCATAAAAGCAACACATGTTGATTGCATAGATTGTCCTGAGAAAATGAACCAACTTGATTGTGCATTATGGGACTGAAATTATACAAGCTTTCCCCCCTACACATGGAGGTAATCAAGCTTCAGTCATGAAGCCTAAGGTTCTGCCGATATTATGCAATTACACAGCATACACCCATTATTATCCTAAATAATGTCTCACAGTAGCAGGAATTTCACAGCGACTCCACCTCATATTGTAGAGAGACATAAACCGAAAGAAAGTGAGCTGAACAACAGTGACGCTGGAGACAGAGGAGGGACGGGCGATATTAAGTAGGAGTTATCGGTTATATTGCTCCTATAAATCTTACACAGGCTGAATGGTGCAATATACCCTGCAACACGAGTTGACTGCCTGGGCATGAAATTGAAAAACAAAAGTGAAATATGCTGACTATTATTTAGGCGCCCTTGACAGATTTAAAGTAAATGTGTTAATAGTTTGACTGGCATTAAGTATCAGTTGGTTAAATGTATAAACAACAATATATCTGATAATATGAAAAGATACATTTTAACTTGCCTCACTTTATAATATCCTCCCTCTACTAGACGTACATCTTCAGTGCAATCAAGTCTGCGTGTTTATTCAATTTAGTTGCGAAATTTTGTCAATTTCAGGCCAGTGCAAGCTCGGAAAAGAGCACTAGAGATGTGTGGGTGGAAATAAGTTGTAACACTGTTGCTGCTTTTCCCGCTGGTCCTAAAAAGGTCAAAGATTACCAAATGCAACATTCCAGCAGTGTACAAATAGGGGCTATATGCTAGAAAACACACTATAGGCACCGGATGAGAACTGTTGCAACGTATCTGCTGGACAATTTATGCAAAATGCTAAAACTACTGTCGGTAGCTGAATGATGACATTTTTTCAACGTCACCTGTTTAGTTAACACGTGTAGTTCTGCTGTTCTTTGCGTACCACAATTATTAACACGCCTTACAGGCAGGTGGCAC